TCATTCTTGTGACTTTTGGATGATCTTCTCTATGTTTGGATATCTATTAGCATTTTTTGACGCCTACACGGACATCGCCCATGCAGTGGGAGTTGTGAGCAGATTTGTAAGCAATCCAGGAAAGTAGCATTGGGAGGCCGTGAAGTGGATAATGCGGTACTTGAGAGGGACAACGAACAAGCCATTATATTTCAGGAGGAAGGAGTTGGTACTGCAGGGATACGTGGACGCGGACTTCGCCGGTGATCATGATACAAGGCGAAGCACCACAGGGTATGTTTATACCTTAGCGTCGACAACAGTGAGCTGGGTCTCACGTCTGTAGAAGATTGTGACTTTATCTATAACCGAGGCTGAGTATGTCGCGGTGACTGAAGCAAGCAAGGAGATGATCTGGTTGAACGGGTGCTTGGAAGAGTTGGATCTGAAGCAAGGGAGAGGAGTTCTTTATTGTGATAGCCAGAGCGCTATACATCTTGTCAAGAATCCCGTATATCATGCCAGAACGAAGCACATCGACGTCAAATACCATTTTATACGCTCGCTAGTTGAAGACAAAAAGTTGCACTTAATGAAGATTTTGGGGAGTCAAAATCCGACGGACATGTTAACGAAGGCAGTCACCATTGAGAAACTGGAGTTGTGCGCAACTTCAGTTGGCCTTCACGAGTAGAAGACGAAGGCGGAGCCACACTACGAGGATCGGCGAGATCGCCGGGATATTGTTGATTGAAGGAAGAATTTTTTTCTAGGGGAAAAGATACATGCGAAGAAGGAGAGAGTTCGGGTGAACTCATTGCAGGCACTTTGGTCTCCAAGTGAGAGATTGTTAGTCTAAGGTGTAGACCCAAAGTCCGGACGAAGGCTGGAATCAAAAAGACAGAAAAAAACAAGCAGACAGATCCACGGTCGACCGCGAACGTGCACAGGAGATGGGAAGAAGCTGAAGCTGATGGCGGTCGCCCGCGGCGGTCGACCGCGCCAACCCTGTAGGATTTTCTGGTCTCGGGTTTTGATTGCGGTCGACCGCGACGCAGTCAAACAGAATCCTGATCTGTTTAGGAATCTGTTTCACCCAGGATTCTATATATACCCCCAAACGATTTTAGGGTTTGTACTACATCAAAAGAATTGCTTTTTGACTGCAAAGAAAGAGAGAATCTCAGAGAGATTAATCCCTTGTTTGAGAGCTTGTATTTTCTTCTTCAATTAATAAAAAGATTGTGTGGTGTGGCTCCCGAGAACGTAGGCACGTTGCCGAACCTCGTTAAATCTGTGTGTTCGTCTCCTTTACTATTTTTGCAAGGTTAGATCTTTATTTATGGTATTATTCCTACTTTCCTACTTTCAACACAAGGTCAAGAAGGGCAAGGGTTCGATTGATTGTTTCGAATCCCCAACATTTCAGTCATCATAGTCAACGATTAGAGTGCATATTTTATCATAACACTCGCGTATAAAATGATGATATATATATACAATTCACGGATAGGTAAAAAATTAGTTTAAGAATATTAGCTTTTTCATATTTGTGTATAAAATGATGATATATATATATACAATTCACGGATGGGTAAAAAATTAGTTTGAGAATTTTAGCTTTTTCATATTTGTGATGAAATACAATGGTTGTGATAGGATTTTCTATTTGTCATTATCTTGGCTCATATCTTACTCGTAAATATATTTTGTTGCGACTTATCTACACAAATTATAAAATAAAGAGTGCTTCTACTATGATCCATTTTAGTAATTCATCTCTACACTAAAAGTTCAAAGAAACCATGTTAGAATTAATCAAGAGAGTTACAAGGGCTCTACTTCTCATTTCAGATTCACATGACATCTATATACCTTATTTCCTTTCGTTTTTCATTATACCTCTATGATTACTAATTGGCTCAACCAATTGTTATTAACCAAATCAAAACCAAACAAATTA